GATCATGACCTAAACTGAAGGTGGAGGCTTAACCCACTGAGCCACCCAGGGACCCCCACGTGGCTCGTTCTTCCAGCACTTGGACCTGCTCCTTTGAATACCAATGCTCCAGAAGCTCCCTGAACAGTGTGCTTGTGTCTGTGGCCTGCATGAGGAGGCACTTTGGAACTAGTCCCCTGGTAAGCAGCACGCAGAAACCTGGAAGCGGTGGAGATTACTCATAACCTGGAGCCCAGGAGAACATGAAGACAGTGCCATTTCCTCTGTGGCAGACAGCTGCCTAAGAATATCTTTCCTCCCTCCTTTGAATCACCCTCCTCTGGGAATCCCAGCACTCCCATCAGGGATCTGACCCCCATGGTTTCCTGACTCTCCACCTGTACCTCCAGGGACCACAGTGATTCCTATACCAATGAGCATTATGGCAACTGCTCCAACTGGCTTAGTATCCACTGTGTCTATGGTGGGAAAGCATTTGGGAATAAGAAAGAATCATCCAGGCTTAAAGACTAAGGAAACTGATGAGATTTGTGGTCCTACTACTACAACTTTTGTTGGTAACATTTCTGAGAAAGCTTCAGACATGCCTTATAAGATCACCCCTTGCTAAATGTGGCTTGGTTTTGAGCTGGAAGAATACAAGGTGTATCTGGAGAACTTCAAGCCTTATAAGGAGCCTGAGCCTAACCCTGTGCACTCAGGTTATAGTACAACCTGCAGAATGGAGAGCAGAAGCTACTTGTTAAAGTTAATGCAAGGACAAAGGCACAACTGGGTAAATGGAAGGCAAAGAAGAAAGCTTCTTGTGGGAATGCCAGGCTAGGAACTGTCACTAATGATAAGAAGCCTCAGATGAAGAAACAAAAGAGATCAGATGATCAAAGGGGATTTTGAAGTTTCAATACACTCCAGTGAACTCAATGCCCCCTCACAAAAATCTGACTGACCCCAGGAAGATGAAGAAAAGGGGAGGACAGTTTCCACACATTTCCAGTGCTCCACTGATTGATTATTTTCTTACCACTAAGGAGGAAGGGGGATATAATCCCTATAAAAATGGAAGAACACAAAAGAGACCTGATATCCTGAGAAAGCAGCATATTCAGAGAAACACACACAAGAAACTGGGAGAAAGGCAACAAGGAAATGGCAAAAGACAGACAGGAAATTGAGACAGAGAGAAAACAGAACAGATGTAAATGGGAACAAGAAAGGTGAGAATGGGAATGAGAAAGGGGGAGAGTGTGAACGAAAGAAGGAATGGGATCAGGAAGGACAATGGGACAGGGATTGTGACTGCGATTAGGAAGGGAGCTCAGATAGGAATAAGACTGAGAGGAAAGAGCAGAGATCATGGAAGGGAATGAGGATGAGAAAGAATGTGAATGGGGGGAGTGCAGAGAAGACAAGAAGCAGGACTATGAAGAGGGTGAAAAAGATGCAGATGAACAAACAAAATCTGAATGAAAACTCTGAGAGAAAGAAGCTTCTTACCAAGAGCGCCTTCAGAACTGGGAAAGCAGAGACTGGAAGAAAACCTGGGAGTAGGAGAAAGAGACTGAAAGAGAAGAGAGAAGAGAAATGGCAAAAGAGGCTAAACGACTAAAATAATTCTTAGAAGTTATGACAATATAGATGATCCCAAATCTCACAGAGGATGTGTTCTTCAGAAAAGGGTGCATGATAGGGAAAAGGAAATGGAAGCAGATGAATGGGACCAAGGAGAGAGAAGGAAGAATTAGAGATCAGGTAGCACCTGCTGGATCCAGATGCAGAGGTTCCAACAAAAGGCTGAGAGGACATGGAAAAGTACATGTAAAGCAAAAAAGTACATGTAAAGGATGAGGAAGAAGAAAAGCAAGAAAAAGAAGAAAAATGAGAGGAACCCAAGAAAGAGGAAGAGCCAGAGCAAAGGCCTGTCTCAAACCAACTGAGGCCATCAGCTCTGTCCCATCTGTCTCCTTGGCCAGTGGCAATGCGGCCCTCAACACTCTTGGGGAGGAGTCTCCCTCCATTATTCCTCATGAAAATTCTCCAGACCAACAACAGCCTGAAGAGCACAGACCAAAAACAGCAATTAAGTCTTAAGTAGGGTGCCTGCAATAGTCCTGGTCAGCCTCGTTCTGTGAAGGGAAAGAAACTTTCGGTAGATAGTGTTTTTAACTAATCTGAAGATGAAGACCGGATGATATACCAGGAAAAAGGAAAATGGTTCCCCTGGATCACTGTGAGGATGATAAAAATGCTACCAAAGGCCCTGCAAACACTGAAGAGAAGCATAAACACATTAAGAGTCTCATTATCTCTTCAGCCAAACCCAAGTTTTTTGGTTATCTCCTGGATTGGTCTATTATGGATTCTCTACTGTCAGAATGACAGATTAGACCATGGATTAATAAGAAGATCACAGAATACACAGGTGAAAAGGAGGTATATTAGTTGATTTCATTTGTTCTAAGGTTATCGCTTATAGATCACTTCAAATTATTTTAGATGATATTGCCATGGTACTGATAAAGAAGCAGAAGTTCTTATAGTCAAAATGTGGAGATTATTGACATATGAAACAGAAAAAAATGGTCCTGTGAAATAAAACTCCTTATACATTTGGAAGAAAAATACCAATGCTCTTTTATACATGCATGTATACACACACTTATACCAATGGCATGTTTCTCCTTTCCAATGTAAATAAATTCTCTGTTCAACTGGATCGTCTGAAACTCTTTCATTGACATTTTAAAAGAAATCACCAAAATTATTTTAAACTAATCCCCATATGAATATTTTACTACAAAAATAAAAAACTAAATACAGAATAAAGCTATTTATTGTTTATTCATTTCTAGGCAGGATAAGGGTCTGAGAGTATAATACAGTTCAAAGAAAGTAGCTACCTAGTTGACAAAAAATAGATAATTGCTAATGTAGAAAATTATTATAAATATTAAAAACAAATAGGCAAAACATCTAGGAAGTTTTATAGACTTTGCATTTTAAAATTATAGTTCATCAGAAACTATGTTTTTCTTCTGTATTGTTATTAAAATGGTTGGGTTTTTGCTTAAATTTCAACGTAATAATTTATCCATTGGTATTTTTATTATTTTTTAAAAATATTTTATTTATTTATTTGACAGAGAGAGAGAGGACAAATAGGCAGACAGGCAGGCAGAGGGAAAGGGAGAAGCAGGCTCCCCACTGAGCAGGGAGCCCAACATGGGATTTGATCCCAGGACCCTGGGATCATGACCAGAGCGGAAAGCAGCTGCCCAACCAACTGAGCCACACTGGCGCCCTCCATTGGTATTTCAACATAATATTCTTTCTACATTTTGGATTAAAAATTGTACAATATTAAAAAGCTTATAAAGTAAATTGCCAACAAAAATGTGAACTCATATGTACATTTCCGACATTGGGGAATTATGTTACAGAATGCCAAACATGAGCAATGTATCCAAGATATAGGACAGTAATGAAATAATAAAAGAGAAAAAAATATTTTCAAATTAATGATTTAGTAAATTTGCTCATTTGAATAAAAAGAAAACATCATTGTTGTGACTAATGATATCTCAATCAAATCCCCTTGTTTCTCATACAATTACACAGAGATAAGATTTTAGGGAGTAAAAAATGTTTATTCAAAGATAAAATCTGTAAACATTGTCAATATAAAAATGTAAGCATCTGCCACTGTTGAGTTCACTATGGGTTTTGCTGCAATGCTAGACTTACTAGCACATGTGTCACGGCTAGGAAAAGGATTTTAATGGCCGATCTTTCTTCTTACTTGAGTAAGGTGACTGGAATGGATTCAGCATAAGACCAAGCAATCACAACTCTGCTTCAGTTACTCCCTTTCAGCATGCCTTGTGTCGTACATTTGAACTATGTCTTAGACACACACAATAAAGCGCTTATGGCAGATTGGAAAGCCTCCAGAGTTTCTTCATGGTGCTGGGAACTGGTAATTTTGAGGTAACTGATTTGCTGAATGTGCTGCTATTACAGGGTTCCTCCAGTCTCAGAGATGTCAAGGAGGAGCACAACAGATTACCTGTTGGTTCCACTATGATTTATTTCTTCTTTCATGCTCTCATCTGACAAACAATGTCAGCCTGATCCCACCAGAAAATCAACAGGCTGCCTGAGCAAATATCTCAGTTGCTGTTCACTTGATGGAATTTTAGGCACTGGAGGCTAGAGAAGTACTTGGAAAAAATCCAATAATGATTTATCTGTATTAGGATTTTTCCTTGTGATTATAGGTACATCAAAAAAAATTATATATAAATGAATATTTACTAAAATAGCAAACTACCCTTTGATTATCTAAATGAACAAAAGGAGAAGAAATAAGCTAAAATAAGAATATATACTTATCATTACTGTGTGTAATATCATTTGGAGTTACTGAGGTAAGGTCAATATAGGCAGTCTTTTCATTTACAATGAACCTGTGCTCCCCCAAATCCCTCAGTTAGCCACTGATCACATGGTTTTTGCCACATCTAAATTCTGATCTTTGGCAACAACAGATCTGACCAGAGGAGATGATGCCTACACCTCCTCCCCGCCACCCTCAGGGACCTCTCTGTACTGGCTGGCTTTATCCTCTTTAAATGCTGTAAATGAGGAATATTTAGCTACGTGTATTAGCAGTGACTAATTTTGCAGTTGCTAATGAATGCCTACATATTTGTATGAAACTCCATAATTAAACTTCCATTTAACAGGAGAGTGGCTAGCAAAGAATTTGGATAACTTGCTACCTTACTAAGTGAAATGCCCATACAGCAAAAAGAAATAGTTCCAAAATGTTAAAGCACATTATCTTCTCAAGTCCATTAGGTCTTTGAAAATCTATACTATATAGTCATTGAATGAAATTTCCTGTCTTTTTCCAAAGGGCATGATACTGCTTTGTACCTTCGCTAAAAATGTTGATGATTACTGGAGACTGCTTTCATAGTAGGCATTAGTCTGAATATGAAAAGTCTGCGTTCTTAATGTTTACCACAAACCCAGCGAAGCTGTTGATCGGTCTGAAGGTCAGTCAGATCTTCAATACTTCTCCAGCTACACTGGCAGGCATATGCTCGTGTTCCTTTCTTCTTTACCAACTTTGTTCTTAATTTGTGGAATTCTGGCATGTTGTTTCTATTAATAAAAAAATGAAGATTTTAGCACAGTGGCTTTGCTCGAGCTGGATGACTTAAAAAAAAAAAAGTTGTCATTGCTTTATTTTCCTATTTTTACCACATCTGAACACTAAACAACCTTGGCCCTCTCACCTAAACAACAGAAGATAGGCTTCTGTGTTCTTTCTGATGGTATTTCCTTGGTATCCAGTGCTTTTGAATGGCAGCCCTGTAGGTCTGTTTATTAAAGCTGTCGTAATAGAACATGAGAACTAAAAGGCTGAATGAAGAATTATTGATTTGTCCTATCAGAGATGTCATGATATGAGAAGAGAGTGGGAGGGATGGTGGTACATCTCCTACTCAGATACTCACTTATACCATACTCTAAAAGCCCATAATATGGCCAATGGAGGGCATATAAGAGGCATAAATAGGGTTCTGATGGGTTAACTATAGCGTTTTTCATTAAATAGACATAAAGTACCTGTTATTTCTATTTGTTGAACTAATATTGTATCTTTCAATTGTTTCAATGATATACTGATCAGCAAGATAAACTATTAGCTACAGAACAAATGTCTATCCTGCATTAAATGTCAATAATGTTAACATAATTAAATCAATGGGCAGGACCATCATAAAAAATAACTATCTGACTTGATGCTACTATAGAAAGATTAGAGAAGTTAATTTAAATTTAATGAACTGAAAATCAATTATGATTTTAATGACAATCCATGTACTGAATTTACATAACTACTCTGTAACAGGAAAACAAGGAAAAAATTCAAAAATGAAATGATGAAAAAATACAAAGTAAAATGATGAAATACAGTAAATATTAAGAAAAGAGACAAAATGCTGTCACTGCAACAGAAGGAAGGCTACAAAGTGCCCTCTGGTGGCCAGTGGGCACCACACAGTACTGTATTGTACAAAATACAGGCATAATTCAGGTTGAACCTAACAAAACCTAGATTTTCCAGGCCAACTGTTTGCTTTCAATAAACTACGGGAAGAGATGGATCATCTAAGTTTTATCAGAAAGAAAAAACCTCCACAAAATGGAAAACTAAATGTTCTTTATTTAATCTGCAATATATCGTGACAAATTTAACGTTTAATACTTGACTGAATCCTTAATTAGAGATTTTATGAGTAGGATTCATGAATAGCCAGGACACTAATTAATACATTTCGAGTTGTTTTTAGGATGCCCATATCTTAAAAGTTTAGAAAAATAATTTCCCATAAAGAAAATGATTTAGTAGGAAAATAAAAGCATCTTATGTAGCTACTAAGCCAGGATGGTCAAGTATAGCTTATACCTCTTTTGGAAAACTCTAGAACTTGTCAGAGCTAAGATACACATTTCCCTCATTTATAAGATAAGGACAATAAAGTAAGCCGATGTGCAGACCGATGCCACTAAAAAGAAATGGCTCCCCAGGCGCTGTCAGGCACCAAAGTCAATGGCACCCTGCAAGCCTTTTAACTTGCCTTCTTTGGTGACCACCTACCTGTGCTTTCCTTTGGCTTACTCCCCACCTCCTCGAGTGTTTCATCTTCTCCCTGTTCCTTTACTTTCAGCAGCTCACATCCTCATTCACACAGCCCTGCCATCCGATGTGAAAATCTTCCATTCCCTAGCTTTCCTCTGAATATATCACTAGTTTACCTCCTTCTACCCAGGTACAGAGAGCTCACCACAGCACTGACATTACATGCATTCTGTCATTCTATACTAGTTTTCTCAAGATTGGTGGTTCACAGTGGTGACGTAGGGGGATTACTGACCAACTCATTACATTAACCAGAGCAGAGGACCGAGAAAAGTCAGAAATGGTAAAACAGACCTGAATTAAAAGTTAACTTTTCCAACTCTGGGATTAAAAGTGGGCTAACCTGATCTGGGATTTGGGGACTGTACTAGGCTTCATTTGGGTTGGGAAATATGAAACCTCTCAAACTGTAATTTTTCCATGAATTTGTATAGTTGAATTTTTGTGTATGCTTAGAGAGGACTCAAAGTTTTCATAAGACTGAATTTCAAAATGCGTGAAAAAAATTTTTTTTAAAAGATTTTATTTATTTATTTGACAGACATAGATCACAAGTAGGCAGAGAGGCAGGCAGAAAGAGAGAGGAGGAAGCAGGCTCCCTGCCGAACAGAGAGCCCAATGCGGGACTTGATCCCAGGACCCTGAGATCATGACCTGAGCCAAAGGCAGAGGCTTTAACGCACTGAGCCACCCAGGCGCCCCAAAATGTGTGAAATTTTGATGTGAAAGAGTTTAAATAAACAATTAAAGTGGAAGAGACTCCCAAGGATTTATAGGAGAATGGCTGCCAGAAGTGGTGTGGAAGAAACACTCTCACCTTTTTATCTATTAGAGAGAGATGCAATATATTTTGATTACTTGCATCAGAAAATACAATTCTTGTTTAGGCTCAGGTTTGGGGTGGGGGATAAAAATGCATGGTGTCTGCGCTTAATTAATTTTTAGGTCTTAATCTTTATTTGAAAAAGTGATATATAATTCACAGCCTAATTTTATTTATTTATTTATTTATTTATTTATTTATTTATTTATTTATTTATTTAAGCAGGGTCCATGTCCAGCAGAGCCCAATATGGGGCTTGAACTCATGACCCTGAGATCAAGACCTGCGCTGAAATCAAGGGTCAGATGCTTAGCCAACTGAGCCACCCAGGTGTGTCCCATGTGATGTATAATTCAGATACATTTTTATGACTTGCAAATCTTAAAAACATTAGGTATGGAGTAAGTGTATAAGAACGCATAAACTGCAAAAACATGAGAAAGACACTATCCTGACCCCAAGGAGGGAGGCAGACCTATACCAACCTAAAATTTTCAATCTTCTTCTCCAGTGAGTGCTAGACTAGGTACACAGCGCTGTGGACACAAAGGAAAGGATGAACTTACTTCCAAGTTGACAGGTAAGGGAATCATGAAGGATGTGCAATGAATTGTACCCTGAGGGACAGGTCAGGTTTAGGTAAATAAATGCTGGGGTGGTGGAAGGGAAGAGCTTGCACTGTCACAGGGAACAGCAGTACTGAGTACTCTGATGCAGCTATAACCTTGTGAAGGTGAAAAGCTAACTGTGGAAGGACACGCCAGGTGACAGACAGATGGGCTCTTGAATGCTGTACTAAGGAACTTGGACATGATTCCACAAGCAGAAGAGTTTTGGGCACGTACAAGGCACACTCAGAGTTATGCATTAATTCTCAGAAGGGGAAGGGTGGCCTGAAAGAAGTGACTGTAGGCGGAGAAATCAGCGAGAAGGCTTTTACTATACTCCTGTCCGGAAGTAACATATCCTCACATAGGCTGACTGCAGACAGATGGAGAGGAGGAGATGACAAAAATATGCAAGAGGTGGAGGCCACATGATCTTGCCAAGTCCACCAAGAGACATTAGAGCAAATAAGAAATATAAAGTTATTGCTTGGTACGTTTTTCACGGAGTGAAGTTCTTTGGAAACATACCTGAAAAACAGATAATCACATGATTTGTCCCACATGTAGTCATCGTAGCTTACTACCCAGAAATCACACGCTATACAACGCAGATGATCACATGCTCTGTTCAGAGAAAAACAACAGTACATTAAAGATTACTGGTACGTTTACATATGGAAATCTGGTGATTTATTCATAGGATACACTACATACTACAGATTACTGAGTAGACAACAGAAAAGTAAAGATTAATGTGACTAAACATTTTTGTATGAAAGGATGGGTTACATACATATCTTTTTTTTTTTTAAACATCTTATTTATTTATTTGAGAGAAGAGAGAGACAGTGAGAGAGAGCATGAGCGAGGAGAAGGTCAGAGGGAGAAGCAGACTCCCCGTGGAGCTGGGAGCCTGATGCGGGACTCGATCCCGGGACTCCAGGATCATGACCTGAGCTGAAGGCAGTCGCTTAACCAACTGAGCCACCCAGGCGCCCGGATTACATACATATCTTTAGGTAAAACTTCTCAGGTTAAGTTTCTGCACAAACTTACATGTTAAATTTCTGTATAAAGCTACTTATTTTTCTAAGCTCTTACACACTGACATATATACATATATATATGCATACACACATATGCATACTGTATAGATATAAAACAAAAGGGATGTGCAGATCTTTTAGTGCAATAGTTTTCAAATTGGATCTGAGGGAGATCTTCACTTAAGATAAACTTCTTTAAGCTGCTTCCCTTCCTACTGAAAATTTCAGGGGTGCCTCTTATCACAGAATTTGCCACATTATAGGAAATGAATCTGTCCCCCCCCATAAGTTACTTAATACTGGGACAGTATCTTATTTGCTTCTGCTTCCCTAGTACTTGGCATTAATATATTCATTCACTCACTTAGAAGATACTTCCTGAAAGCCTATTACGTATGCTAGTGAGTTTCTGTCCTCATGGAGCTTATATTCTAATGAGAGAAGAAATGATACTCATAATAACTAAATTACATAGTTTGTTTGAAGGTGAAAAGTGGGGCGCCTGGGTGACTCAGTCGGTTAAGCAGCTGCCTGTGGCTCAGGTCATTATCCCAGGATCCTGGGATCAAGTCCCACATCAGGCTCCTTGCTCAGAAGGGGGTTTGCTTCCCTGTCCCTCTGCCTGCCACTCCCTCTGCTTGTGCTTGCTCTCTCTCTCTCAAATATATAAAATCTTAAAAAAAAAAAAAAAAGGAAAAGTGCTTCCAATTTTTGAAATGATAAGTAGAGTAAATAAAATTGGGAGTATCAAGAAGGAGTGGCTTGCAATTTTAAGTAGTCTGCACAGGCCTCACTGAGAAGGTACGTACATCTGAGCAGGTTCTTTAAATGGAGTGAGAAGGTGGTTAAGAACAGGGGTTAAGAGGGGTGCCTGGGTGGCTCAGTGGGTTAAGCCGCTGCCTTCGGCTCAGGTCATGATCTCAGGGTCCTAGGATCGAGTCCCGCCATCGGGCTCTCTGCTCAGCAGGGAGCCTGCTTCTCTCTCTCTCTCTCTCTCTCTCTCTGCCTGACTCTCCGTCTACTTGTGATCTCTCTCTGTCAAATAAATAAATAAAATCTTAAAAAAAAAAAAAAAGAACAGGGGTTAAGAGAAGGTTATATAAGAAGGGAGGGGAAAAGAAGATTATTTTTATGTTGATGGCAGAGCTGCAGTGAAAAGCAAAACACTGATGATATAGGAGAAAGGGGAGGAAGTGCTGGAATGACACTTAGCATGTAACAGGTCCTTACTGAAAATGTGACAAAATGAAATGCCACACAATTCTCAAAATGCATAAGCTACATAGTAAGTTTAGGAGTAAAATAACAATATATGGAAATACTTATGAACTGCTGATGTTAACAATTTGATTTATGTAATAACTGTGATTTACTTTAAAAAGAATAAAACTTTTCCATTATTTGAAGTATTTAAGAACTAAAATCAATATAGATATATATTGGATTATCTAAAAATTAAAAGGAAGAAGAGGTTTTTCTTTTTTTTTTTTAAAGATTTATTTATTTTAGAGAGAGTGTGTGCCTGCATATGTGCACATGTAGGGGTAGGGGCAGAAAACCTTCAAGCAGACTCCCCACTGAGCGCAGAGCCCGATGTGGGCCTCAATTTCATGACCCATGAAATCATGACCTGAGCTGAAAGGCAGAGTCAGATGCTTAACTGACTGAGCCACCCAGGCACCCCAATAAAAGATTTTAAGATACCAAAAACAAAGTGAAAATACCAATCAGTGACAGAGTGGAAGTAAATGTTTTCAACACAGTCAAATACTTACACTATACAAAGAGTGCTTACAAATGACAACAAAACTTAAAACTTGAAAATATATTCAATCTCTCTCATATGGGTATCACAGAATAGCAGTTAAGAGCACAGACTGTGAAGACAGACTGCCTAGGTTCGAATGTATTCCATTATTTACCAGCTGTGTAACTATAGTCAAATAACTTCTCTGTGACTCAGTTTCCCCATCTGTAAAATGCGGGTAATAATAATACTTACATACCTTACAGAACTGTTAACAGACCCAATCGTTTAACATCGGTAAAGTGCTTATAACAGTGCCCAGCACAGGGTTTGTTAGTTAAAATATCATGTAATTAAATTATAAAGCAACCAAGAAATAAATGTTTTAGCCAATTAAGTTACCAAAAATTAGGACTCCCAGACATTCCTGGTGGGTATGTGAATTTCTGTAATCTTCTGGGAAAAACCTTAGCACTATTTTAAAATTAAAATTATGCCTAGCTGTTGCTCTAGCAACCGCATTTTTGGGAACCAAAAATTACATATAAATAAAAACATCAGTCTATAAGCCATTTAGCTCAAGAATTTTTACTGCACTGCTGAATTGCTGAAGTGGCAAAAAACAGGATACCACTTGGATACCTATGAAAAAGGGAAAAGGCTGAATAATATGCAATATATATAGACTGTCAGGTAGCCAATAAAGAGAATTAGATTTATCTATTGACCTAGAGGGATGTCCAAAGCAAGGTACACCATTAACATACATAGCATGAGCCTATTTTTATAAAAACAACCAAAAAAATTTCCTGTATAGGTATTTGTAAGTTTGTAAGAACATGGAGAAAAATGTGGAAGGTTATATACTGTACAGCTAATACTGGCTGCCTCAGGGGTAGTGGGAATGGAGGAGAGAGAAGATTATTAGCTTTTTCTTTACATATTTTTAAACTGCTTTATTTTTTAAATAAGCAATCAATACTTCTGCAATAAAAAAATAATTAAAAAATCCCATCATTAGCTTTTTTTTCACTTATTTCTCTCTAAAATTCAGATATGGTAACTTCAAAATTGCAAATATTTTTGGCCTGAAAATTTCTTTGAAAATAAATGTTTATTTTAAAAATTATTATTAATCATAAAAATAACTACTCGAAATCTATAGAAGTTTCATAAACAATTCCATATTTTCTTTTAAACTGAGTTGTATTTGTACATACGGAAATTCAACACAATTAAATTTGTACACATCTGAACTTGGATTTTTAATGTACAAGTAAGGAAATGCAAAATGATGGTTCCCAAAGCTGCCATAACTTGCTTTCTTATGCATATGTAGTTTATTACATGATTGCACAGAGTGTTAACTTTAATGCTTTAATACATATGTGCAATTTGGCTAAATTATTGCTGTTTTGGGAACGATAATTTAGAATTTCCTGACGTTTTGTATGTGTAAAATCTCAACCATAATGTTAAATACAGCTTTTTAATTTAATTTAAAATTTAGTAGTTTATTCAAATCTATTCACACTACATTTTCCTACAAACACTGCCCTGTGAGAAAAATAAAACTAACTTGCAGCTAAGAAATCATTCTGCTGCTACGATTCACTCTATTAGATCATAATTAGTAGGCGTCTATGGAATAATACAGCTTTACAAGTGGTTTAAAAAATAAGAATGTAAAATTCGATTTGGCTTGAAAATAATGCCTTGATTTTATCTATACCTTATTAATGCCACCATGCTTCCTGCTACCACTCTTTCTCCTTTCCACCAAGTGAGTAAAAGACTCACATCTTTATACTCTAAAATCATTCAGTGGTACTCCCAAACCAGAGCTTTATCTGGAAATCAAACAAATAAAACACATAGAAAGTAGGCAGAATAGACTCAATTTCCTTTATGCCCTGGGCGTGTAAATCAGTGCTTATTTTCAGGGCTTAAATATATTTCTCTTCCATAACTATATGCATGTAAGACGATATCTTTAAAAAAAGGCATGATTCTAGTGAAAGATAAATTGTCAGGATTCTTCTTCTAAAATGTGGAGGGAAATAGGGGCGCCTGAGTGGCTCAGTGGGTTAAAGCCTCTGCCTTCGGCTCAGGTCATGATCCCAGAGTCCTGGGATTGAGCCCGCATTGGGCTCTCTGCTCAGCAGGGAGCCTGCCCCCCCCAACCCCGCCTACTTGTCAAATAAATAAATACAATCTTAAAATACAGTCAAATAAATAAATATAATCTTAAAAAAAAAAGAAAAAAAAGAAAATGTGGAGGGAATATAAATATAAAGGTGTCACCAACAGCTTTGTCCTTCTGTCCAGCTAATACATACAATTTTTACTATTTTTAAGGTGTTCATGATGGGAATGTCCAAAATACAGCCCAATATAGTCTTCTGCCCAGACTCTGGTTCTCAGTTAAACCCTGCCAGATCTACACAGCAGTCTAGGAAGCCTTTTGTTTGGACAGTGGGAAAATAACAGTAGCCTCAATAGCAAAAACAGCTAAGTTTCTTCCCTCTTGCACACATTACATGGTCTCCGTAAATTGGTATACTAGAAAGGATAATGGACAGGAACAAGTTACATATTTGAGTCCTTGGTTTGTAATAACTTTTCTGATCTTGGCAAGACACATTACTTGGAAGTCATCCTTGAGAACATTCTTTTACTTCCCATAGCCATTTAAACACCAAGTTCTGTCAATTCTAGATTCTAAATGGCACAAATATGACACCTTTTCCCTCCAGCTACTTTCACTACTCAGGTCACAGCTACCATCCCCGCCTCTTTCCTGGACCACTGCAACTACTACCTGCTGACTGTTCTCCCTGTCTTCTCTTGTCTTGCCCCTTCAACTTCCAAACCATTTTCCATTCAGCAGCCGAAATGACTTTCTTTAGAAACACAAATACGATTGTCACCCCATCTGCCAAAAATAAAAACCAAAAAATCCCCCAAAACAACTAAAGCCTTCCACTGCATATAACACACTTTTCCTAAAATCTGCCAGAGGACTTCAGGACCCCAAACCAAATGTCCCTTGACTACCTCTCCAGCCCGATCAAGAGCGATTCTTTCCCCCACTCACAGCTACTCCAGCTCAGGGATCATCTAACACTCTGTGCCCTCTGGCTCTAATGGTCTCTCCTCTCTTTGTCAACTCATTTCTCATACTGTAGTCTGATTAAATGTTATTTGCTTGGGAAAACATTCTCTAACCCTTCATATTAGTTGGTGTGCTGATTATCTAAGCTTATCGTACCCTGCACTTTCCCTTCACATTATGTATTATGTAGGAGCTAGCAAGCAGGTGGTTCATTAGTATGTGTTCAATGAATTTAACACCAGTGTCTCAATTTCCTCATTTATAAAATGGGGTTAAAAAGTCTTGCTTTATTTGCATCTTGCTTTTTTCCCTGTGGAGCTGAACCAATAAGCATATATTAAAAAAGTGCTCTGGAGAGGATAAAGTACTTCACATATAAAATGTTTTAGGTGCACATTGAACAAGTATAGGCTTATCTTTCTGTGGGTGCAGATCTGTTTTATGAAGAGGTTTGTCCATAAGGGTATCTTTGTAATAGTGAGCAAGACAAGACTGTGAATGTACACATTTACCTGTGCACATATATGCAAACAGTATGTGTTTTTTCTTCTTGTAGCTGTGCAGAAAGTAGGAAAGGAGTTTGACGAATATTATCATGCTCATGGATCAATATTGTGTGACTGGATCCTCAAGCTATAAAACAGGCCATTCTTTGTCTAGTTAAATTCCACCTGGAGCAAGACTCTTCTGTGCTAGAACCAAATCAATCAATGTACCTGTAAAAAATACTATATAAAAGAAAATCTTCATGAAATATTTACTCTTTGAAAGTAAACCAGAATGGATCATCTTAGAGACCATTTTTATTTACTATTCTTAATTTTTTGAGAGACAGAGAGTGTGAAAGGGAGAGATCTTAAGCAGGCTCCTTGCCCAGCATGGAGCCCAGTGCAGGGCTCAATCTCACGACCCTGACATCATGACCTGAGCAGAAATCAAGAGTTGGACGCTTAACTGACTGAGCCACCCAGGCGACCTAGGACCATTTTAAAAATTAGAAGACCCGTGTAGGTAAACACTGATACATATTTCCTGAGATAAAATGGGAACATAGCGGAAGAATATAGGATTCCTGGCACAGAACTAGAACACAATGAGAAGGCAGCACTAACAGATGAAAAAGACACACGAATGACTGTAAACTATTACTTAAACTATCTTCGGCGTCTTTCGCACCACAGGCAGACTATAACATAGGATTCCATCTAATCCTCACAGGATCTCCGTGGAGTGTGTTCAGTTTTTAACGGGTGAAGAAACCAGTTTTAGAAGATACATCCCTCCTCTCAAGGCTTCACATCTCATAAGTGGCACAGTGAGATCTGAACTCAGGCATTCTGCCATCAGAACTCTTTCTCTTTCTGCTTTAAGTACTATCATTTGCTTCTTACCAGTTCCTTTCCTGGAGAGGGTTTCTTTCTTTCTTTTCTTTTTTTTAATTGATTGGTGATTGATTGTTTATTTATTTATTTATTTTTGGTATCTAGTGTTTAGCTCAGGGCCTAGGACAAGCCAGGCATTCAATGAATATTATAAAAAGAAAAAAGAATCTCAAACAGAATGACAAAGTAAATTTGAAAATAAGCAGATAAGATAGTGAGAACACACATTAGAAAGGAGGGTCGTTCCAGACAGGGAATAAATGCAAAAATATTCAGAAGCAGAAAGATGTAGTGGAAAGTAGAGGGTAACAAATGTTTTAGTGGAAGTGGACTATCTGACTTGGGCTCTCACTGGACGTGAAGGGACCAAGAAGAGAAAGAACACAATTTGGTAAAGCAAGTAACCTTAGAGTTAATGTGGGACAAATGGCAACTCTCATCTTCCCTCTGAACAGGGGAGATGTGCTCAGAAGAGTATTAGGGGTATTATCCTTCCTGCTGTATGTGGGTGAAGCAAGAGAAGGGAGTGGAAGGTAACAGGGAATCTGGTGCAGTTCTTAGGTGACTGGAAAGAGCCTGCGATTGGAGGGGGTGTGGTCTGGAAACTCAGAGACAGGTCGCAGTGACTCTACACAGGTAAGTCAGGATTGACAGCAACCCGACTATATTCTTCTGGAAGGGCTAGCTTGTGTCTCTAATCCTTTGTATAGAGAGCCCTCAACACACAATGATTTAACTGCTATTAATTGTTATTTACAGCCCTTACAGCAGTCAGCACCCCAGGGGGCTTGTGTTAGCCTTGATGTTTGCGATACCGGCTTCCCCAGACTCCTCAACTTTCCTTTGGTCCCATAGCCTTTCTTTCTAGGCTTCCTAGGGTCTAGGCCAGCACCACTACAATCCTCCAACAATGTCTTTTTAGATCCCACTTCTATTATTCAATATAACTGTTATTCCTCCTAAAACATGGTCAACATGCATTCATGTATCTCATTCTTCTCTTCCTTAAAAAATTAACAGAAAGTAAAAGAAGTGTTTTAGGAATAACTAGACAAAAGATAATAATCTGGGCAAATAGGCCTCTGCAAAAATAGAATCAACAGTATCAGGACAACAGAAAGATATGCTTAAAACCAATTTGTTTCTCCACATAATGACGATGATAATGGAATATGCTAGCAGTATGGGGTAGGTGGTATCCTGACCACGAGACTTCCCTGAAAGGTAGTGAGTATATAGTGGGTGTAAGGGATGGGGAAGAGACAAAGAATGGAGGATTTCTGCATTTTAAATGTGTAAAACCAAGCGACTATGTTTGAGAGCTCTTTGGTACCGAAAACCTAGCCTTCTCATGCTGTGTGTTTGGTCAAGATGGTGGGTAACACATCATGTGGCTGCATGGCCACATTGCTTCACCAGTCTCACCCACTGGCTTCTGCTGACCAGAAGGCAAACATGGCAAGGCAGAAGCTCACTCTCTTGGCATCCTGTGGAAAGCAGGCTAGCACTGGAGTGACCCAAGCACTTCAAGTGGGGCTTAGAAATAGGCATCAGGGGTGCCTGGGTGGCTCAGTGGGTTAAAGCCTCTGCCTTTGGCTCAGGTCATGATCCCAGGATCCTGGGATCAAGCCTCGCATCGGGCTCTCTGCTCCACAGGGAGCCTGCTTCCTCCTCTCTCTCTCTCTGCCTGCTTGTGATCTGTCTGTCAAATAAATAAATAAAATCTTTAAAAAAAAAAAAAAGAAATGGGCATCAACACAAAGAACAACGCATACCCAATATCACAGCTTTTAAAAGCTATTGCCCAGAATAACAAACATTTCAGTACAGTGTTCTCAGACTGGCTAATAAAATACACCTCTGATTTTGACAGAGACGGATGCCAAGAACTACATCTTAACAACAGGGTATCAACTGCAAAAAACCTAATAAGAAAGATAATCTATTTCCCTTCTTTTTAAAAAAGATTTATTTGAGAGAGAGTGTGTGTACATGCAGACACACAAGCAAGGGTAGGGGCAGAGAGGGAAGAGAGAGAGAGACTCCCAAGCGGACTCCCTGCTGAGAGAGGAGCCCGACATGAGGCTCGGACCTCACAACCCCAAGATCATGACCTGAGCCGAAAATCAAGTTGGACCCTGAACTGATTGAGCCACCCAGGCGCCCCAAGAAAATCTATCTGACATCCTACCTCTGTGAAGTATTTGTTCCAATTCCACACGGAGCAGCGGTTCCACCAAGGTACACTGGGCTGCAACTAGACGTGTTTGATAGATGGAAGAAAAAAATTACAACAAAAAAATATGAGAAGTTAATTTGGTCTCATTGACTCTATATTCTTGTAATCAAATTGTAGATTTTCCTGAGAAGGCCAATTATTTCAAAGAAGAGGCATTTATTCCAGGATAACTGCATTATTGGATATAACCCGTATATTCAGGAACACTCAAGGAGTTAAAATGAGTCACAGAAAAATGTGTTTGCCAAATAATATAAGTGACAAAGTAAACATCGAAGAATGTAACAGAACATTAATTCTGAGAAACTGCTCACATTTTTTTTTCATGTGGCAGAAAATTATTTACAATGGCAATAATCTTCCATTCAAGTTCTTTTACACCAAGAGGTCACAGACCATGAGAACACTGAAGATATTGCTATTGGTCTTTCTCCTGAAAGCCAACCAGTGCTTTGTTGTTCAATGTCACTGTTGTTTAAATGGTAACAAAATATACTAGACTTTGCTCATAGTGTTTGCTCACTAGTGTGTGTAATTCACTAAAGCCATCTCAACTTACCTTTTACCAAGGCCTTGAATGGAAGCTCTGACAGATGTGTTACCTGAAGATTTAGATTTTAATTTCTGTTTAAAAAAACAAAAACAATAAAAGGCCAAGGGTAATTTAGAGAATTCTAGCATAAAAACTAATACTTTTTATTTTATAACAATATTTTTTAAATGACTTAAATAAAAATTTTGTATCATTTTAAAGTTTCTGAAATAAAAACAACGATCAAAACCTTTTAAAGGCAAAAGGGAAGTAGACCTCCCCGAGGAATTTGTAAATTACTCAGCTAATTTTTAGTCTAGGAAATTGATATACTGCCATTATTAGCATGCTAAGATTTAGAGTCACTTTATAACTCTTCAGTTAATAGCACATTCAGTGATTTAATATGAAGGATCTGCTATTTAAAACTTCATCCTGGAAAAATTCAATTGAGGAGGAAAAAACCTCAGACTCATTTTTAAAGGCTGTGAATGGTACTTACACACCTGAACTAAAAATAAAACTAGCCAAACTCCTGGGTAACTTTAGGAATATTAATTTTGATCAAACGAAACAGTATCAACCAATAGACATGCAAGGAAATTGTAGAACTACATAGTCACAACCATACAGTAGTTCCCATATGGTTACATAACATGATCATCATTAGTAAGCATTTATTAAGTGTTAACTGGTATATGGTACCAAGCAGCATCAACCAACCACATACTAGGACCACCGCCAAGGAAAGGAAGTTGGAGAAAAGGCAATTTAAACTACTCAGAGACATGCCTTCATTTTACTTTGTAGGTGAGGAAATTTAATGGAGGCAAAAATATTTCACTTTACAATTTCCCTGAACTTTCTTATTTGATGTTAAACAGAAGTGGAAGAATTTCTGTTGCATGTCTGGAAAAATAATAATGTACGTGTCTTTTTTTTTTTTGGAGAAAAATGTTTCGTGTACCATCCACTTATGGCTTGAAGTTAGCACACTGTGGCATTTGTTGTCATTCTTGGGCTTTCCTGCGTGGGCCTGAGAGCAGTTCAGAAACCGAACAGAATGGGTGAGTGGTTGGGGAGGAAGCAGTACTCTCAGGAACATAGTCTGGTCTGGAAAAGGTGGGCGTGCACCCCTCTTCACAGACACCTCTTTTCCTCACCGAATCCATGTTTGACACAGATCTGCTCTCCTCCAGGGGTTTATTTAGGTTGTTTTTTCCCTTGCAGTCTGGAGAACTGGATATGGTAACTAAAAAAAGGGAGCATACTGAAGCACACCTCTTCATGATTGTAGGAGTTACTCTTATTTCAAAGTAGTGTATCTTAAAGCCAAAGTAGAAAAATATCCCCGTTCCTTCTGAAATGTCTTGAAGTAAAGAGACAGTGCCTCACATATAGATACACAACCTATAATACTTAATAACGAATTGTTCAGATGATCCATGAATAACAAGATCATGTTATCTTCTCCACTATTAATTAAACTAGCGTTGCTATTTGGCATTTATGATGCATTGTTGTTTGCAGAGTATTTAACACCATTGTTATTATGTTGATAAGTTAATCAACTAGACCATCAGCTTATTAATCTACCATCTGCTTATGAACTGAAAATGTTAAATTTAGAGAAGTAAAGATCATAAGCTCTCTATCAGTCATTTGATTTTTAGTCTGGCTGACAAAAATAAAAGTGGCTCATATCCATATCCTTACCACCACCACCACTGCCTAGTGATTTTCAGTCTATCTGGCTTTAATCTTCCCCCTTTGAAAAAAACCCTCTTTGGTATTATATTTATTCTTAGATTTTTGTTCTTTGTGGTCTCTGTAATTGAGACTTCCATTTGGTCTCTCTTAAATCTCACAAATATATTTTATATCCACCACACTGATAAAAATTAAAGTATACACATTTTCATCTACTGCTGATGAGAAGAACAGAAATGACAGTCACTCTGGAAAACACTTGGGCAATGGGTAGAAAAGTTGAAGATAAGTACACCTAATGACCAAGCAATTCCTCCTCTAGGTTTGCACATTCTAGAGAAACTCCTGTATGTAGGTAAAAGAAGACACGTGAAAATATCCCATGAAACACTGTTTTTAAAAGCAACAACTGGGGGGTACTGGGGAGGCTCAGTCCTTAAGTGTTTGCCTTCAGCTCAGGTCATGATCCCGGGGTCCTGGGATCGAGCCTGGCATCAGGCTCCCTGCTTGGAGCCCTGCTTGGAGGGAGGCCTGCTTCTCCCTCTCCTACTCCCCCTGCTTGTGCTTGTGTTTCCTCTCTCGCTGTCTGTCAAAAAAAAAAAAAAAAAAAAAAAAAGAAAGAAAAAGAAAAAAAAAGCCACAACTGGGTGCACTCCAAATGTCTATTACCAGGGAAGTGGATAAACTGTGGCAGAATTACATAATGGACTACTATACATCAGTTAAAATGGTTTATGATTATACAAGTATAATTAAAATATAAAAGTATGGATGGAAAAGACAGGTTACCTCTGGGAAGGAAGGCAGTAGAGTAGGAGCTGGGGAGTTCTTAAACTATAATTTTAATTTCTTTTTTTTTTTTTTTTTTTAAAGATTTTATTTATTTATTTGACAGAGAGAGATCACAAGTAGACGGAGAGGCAGGCAGAGAGAGAGAGAGAGGAGGAAGCAGGCTTCCTGCTGAGCAGAGAGCCCGATGCGGGACTCGATCCCAGGACCCTGAGATCATGACCTGAGCCGAAGGCAGCGGCTTAACCCACTGAGCCACCCAGGCATCCCTATAATTTTAATTTCTTTAAAAGAAAAATCCAGAGACGCAAGTATGACAAAACATTGATATGTTCACTGTGGGTGGTAACTACAGAGCTGGCTGTTACACTGTTTTATGAGCTTTTTATAAAGTTGATAAATACAAAAGCATTTAAACATTAAAATACCAAGAATTTACTCATTGATTCGTGGGATAACAGCATCAGCACTGCATCTGAGCACATTCCTATAATAAAAGCTATTTTTGGTCTCTAAGAAAAGTGTTCTTTAAATACGCAAATAAAGTAACCTATTTCATCTGTGAGCTGACTTCTGCTCTAACAGCTTTTCTAATTTTTCATTCTCGCTGAGAAATGAACAGCAAACACATGAGAGTTTCTAATATTTTATTTCTTCTACAACTCTAAGTGGAATAATTCCCTTAAAACAGTTGTATTTTTCAGAATTCAAAGAACTAGATACTTGTGCATTCTATACATTTTCAGACTCTTCTAAACATGTTTTGAAATAATGAAAGAATTACTGCACATTTATAATACTTAACTTACAAAGGGTTTTTTGTCAAAGTTGGGTTCTTCAAATATTTCATTAATAAGACTGTCAAGATCATCTTCTTTCTCAAATGTTTCTGCTGATCTGAAAACAAAATAGCTGAAGCTTAAGTACAGATAAAGTCAATATCAGGAGAATTTTGCTTAAATAGTCTATTATTAGAGTTGATAAGAGGACAAATGTGACGTTAATTAATTTTTTTCCTCTATGGACATAGTTGAGGATGTTGAGACAAAGATGTAGTTTATCAGGTAAAAATTCACATATGTACATTACTATTTCACACTTGAATCATTTAAAGCTATAGGTTATATTCAAGAGAAAGCTAGGCATGCACTTTTCTAAATTACGGACTTATTTAAAGAACACAAAGTATGTACAATTACAAGTAGAACCTGAGAATTATAAACAAAGATAATTTTAATGAGTATTTCTAATTTTTTACCTAAGGGTTCCACTATAAGTCAAATAACTATCTTTTTACTACAGGAACTGAATTGAAGATTATATAATCAAATGATCAATAAAAAAAAAAAAACCCGAACAATATTCCCTTGACAGAGTATCTCAACTACTCTCTATATAGAAGCTTAAATCTAGGTCTACAATATCCTGGTAGACTTGGAAATATGACCTTGGGCAAGTTAACTCTTTTACTAAGTCTTAGTTTGGTCAGTGAAAGGGGGATAATATTATTTGCGTAAGAGGGTTGGGGAGAGTAAATGAAATAACACATACAAAGCACTTAGCATATAGAAAGGACTCAATAAATGTTGGCTATTATTGTAACTATTATCTAGGAGGTTATGATATTATTTGTAAATATTCCCATCTGTATCATTCTGAACCACTTTAGTCCTATTATTGAAGTTCAACTCACAGCAGTTTTTTTTAAACTAATTAAGTACTTCTCTTTATTATTTTGAACATTTTAGCAACTTGTATATGTTTTGATCTCTTACATTAGCAGTTGTTTCTGGCATCCAGATGTTGCATGGTCATTTATTTTATTACTTGCAGACCTATCATTTTAATAGACAACTTCAGTATTTTAATTCTTATTAGGGAAAGAGATAACAGTTGCATCACTATACAATTGGCAGATAGTCTCCTGTTAATAAATTCATAATATAAATTGGTTCTTAATTTTTAAATATCAATTTTGGCTCATGATAAAATTTTTTATATTTGACATTATATACCAGGTAGGGATTGTATTTGGGTATTAGGTTTAGGGCCCTTTCTGCTGTTTTTTTTTTTTTTTTTTTTTTTTTTTTTTTTTTTTTTGCATAATTTACCTTTACAGCTACATTACCAAATGAAAAGTTTTAACACATGAATAACAACAGTACTGGTTTGCTACAGCTTTTATAAATGTATTATTGAAAAATCTGAGGTAGTAAGGTGAGGTGGGATGCTATAAACATTATGGATGGATTTCAGTAGTGCAATAACAGGCTACGGAGAGAGGCATAAAAGGACCTGTTCTTGAAAAGGATCCACCTTTTCAACTCTTTCCATTTTGAGCAGCCTGCTCCAAGACATTCTAGCCCTCTGCACACTAGTTCTAACATGAACAGGCTCTGGACGGCTCTTTGATTAATTCTCTCCATCCCCCAATGAATGAATAAAAAGAACAAAAGAAATTGCAAAGTAACACTGATGTGGGATAGGGACAGTGATGTCCCGGGCATGAGTACCTAAGGACCTCCAGCATGCAAGACAAGAACATACAAATTAATGAGTGATATTTGCATAATCATTGTCAAGAAATCCCTAGCCCCTTCAAAGTGGTCATTTTAGTTGGCTCTTTAGTTGATTTTTAGAATGCTGCCCACTACTCAACTAATTTTTGGAACTCCTGTTTCTGAACTTTAGAATCTTCTCAATACGTTATATTCCAAAAGTTAATTTTTATAAACAAATGCCATTAGAGGTTAAGTCTGATAAACTGGGTACCAATGTTGTTGGGTAAATACTTCTGGAAAATCATGCACATGAACACCAAGACCAAACAAAACCCAGCGAAACCACAGAGGCAGGCATAAAATGACAAGAATGACTTTCTTGGGCTCTTCCAAATCTGCCTTTGTGTAATTTCACAAACATGTCCAACAGAGTTACTGCAGAGGCTCACAAGTCATCACTTGGAAGGACAATATTCATTCTGATGAAACAATTTTGACCTTTTGGGATTGAGGAGAAAAATGAGAGGAAAAAGAAAGTCCTATTATTTTATGATTATACGGAATCAAAGAGATTAACAAATTTGAAAGGTAGTTCTTTGGATCAAAAACCAGAATACTTAAAAAAATCTCCTCAAATTTCAATCTGGATGCCTGAGATTCCTTGGGACCTCACCTGGGGGCCACGGGGAGAAGGTAGGTGGTTTGGATTAATACAGTGTTTACAATAATAAACCATTTATCATAAATGTAATCTCATTCAATTCTCTGAGTTAAAAAACAAACAAACGGCTAATGATGACAATTGTACGGAATCGTTTTCTCCAACAACCCGCCCAAGGATTATACTGCCTGGGAAATTGGGTCAGAGGCGAAAGGCTGAGGTTCTCTGTGGGAACGAACACCTCCCGGGGCGCGCGGGGTGCGGGTGGGGGATAAGAACGGTTCTGGCTGTCAGAGCTGGTCAGAGAGGCCCTCTCGGGGCTCAAGGGAGGGCCCCCAAGCTGCACCTCTCTCTCCCCACCTCCATTAGGTCCCCACGGTCTCCGTCTGGGTGAAAGACACCGGGTGAGGGCTCTCACGGGCGGGGCTAGCCTCCTGGGGCTTGCCCGGGTTGCCGAACTGGGCCTTGGTAAGAGATGCCCAAATCCTCCTGGACAGGGAGTTGAGGTGTGCGCTGGGGTGGGGAGCTCAGGATTTGGGCCCGACTAAGGACGGCAGCTGCAGATCGTGGACAGAGGGCGGCTTCAGGGCGTGGAGCAGGCTTTAATAGGACAGCTCACCCCTCCCGCCTGTTAACCTGAGAGTCTCTTTCGCCTCGGCTCGGTTCCGGTCATTGCTGAGAATGCCACCGCCGCAGCCTCTGGGCCGCTCGACCATGCCCAGTCTCGGTGGGTCTGGTCTGCAAAATTTGGACTCGACTTCATCCAAGAGCTCGTCCAGGTCCTTCGCCATCTTGAAACGTTACGTCTTTCCCGGTGCCGCCGGCAGCGCCGCGTGGTTTCCAGGGCAACGCGGGGACCCGCCGAACGCGCCCGCGCCCGCGCATGCGCTTGTCGTCCCAAGGCGGCCCAGGCGTCGCGAGGCTGTGGGGCTAACGCGCTCGAGCAAAAGGACTCTGTGGGTCCGCGACTTCTGGTGGTGCTGGGCTATCCCTGTGGCCAGGGGTCGGAGCTGTCTCTTGCTGCATGACCTCGTGACGGTTTGCTTTCCGTTCCAGATTGGCGTGTTTTGGCCCATCTCCCCCTCCTGGGCCCCGGTTGTAACCACAATCACACGACACCGTAGCTCCCTCGTGCGCTCCTTTTACGGCCCAATTGGGGTCCCCGTTCTATTCCAACCGTTCATAAATCCTTTAAGTAATCTGCGGAAAAAGCTGGGGAAAACTCACCAAAACGAAAGCAAGTACCAGCAAAAGCTGACTTTCCCGTAGTCGGCAGGATTCGAACCTGCGCGGGGAGACCCCAATGGATTTCTAGTCCATCGCCTTAACCACTCGGCCACGACTACTGCTGATGTTAATTTTGGCAGTAAGATCTATGTAGACTGCACACAAGTGTCTACGCTGTAACAGGTATGTTTTGATGGGGAGAAAAACAATACAAAGCTGTTTGGTCAGATAAGATCATATTTGAATGTTACAGCTCTAATAATTTTAGCTTTTTGAGTTACTCTTGGAGCATATCCCGTGCGACCCAACCCTTTTCTATCAGGAAGAACTGAGTTCTAGTCAGTTTTCTAGTTAAAGTCAGAAAACTCAGGAGGGAGGGAGGAAAGTCTGGTACTATCGTCCACTTGCTTTCTCAGCAACGGAGCCATTTCCAAGACGGAATCTGGAACCTAAGGGCGTCTGGACAGCTCTGGGCTTCCTTGCTTGGCTCTCAATTCCATCCCTCCACCTCCCTCTTGGACCAACAGCTCCCAGGACTCTCTTTTCTTGGATAAGGCATTAAAATGCTATTATTATCCACCAATTTTAATTCATTACGCAGGATCAGACTGTCCCATCGTGCTCTAAAGCTCTACTTTGAAAAGTGTAAAGCGTGTTACGAATGCAAGCTGTTATTTAATATTCCTGTAAGTGCTACAAACAGTCTAACCTGAACTTTGAGTATTTTTAAAGTGGGGTAGCAAAGAGGTGGGCACCTCTTTTTGCAGAAACCCTGAAAGTAGTCTGATACAAGTGATTTAGTAGCTTCATTTATTTGGTTTGATGTGTGTTCAAAATGTCTTTAATGCCCCTGAGGAGCAAAGTGCAGGCAGTACTGTGCCTGAGCCAAAGGTACTTGCTCACTAGAGCCCACCTTTACATTTTTATGCATTTTGGAAGCCAGTTGTTAAATGCAACCATTAATTAAAGGTAAATTATATAAACTTACAATTAAACTAATGACATTAAAAACAAAAGTAATACTCAAAATTCACCGTAGTCTAGTTATTTCCACACATTTTATTATAATTTATACTGTTGAGGTTATATCTATTGTGTCTGAAATATTGTAGAATGGGTTGTTACTGTGAATCTGTCCTTAACTTCCCATTCAAGGATGTCACTTGGATAGTTTAAAATCAGCCTTACTGGGTGTATTTACATCAGGGACATTGCAAATGCTACAAAACATGGTTTTTTCTCCATATGAGCTGGTTGTCAGTCATCTACCAGCAACTACTAATGTTACTATCAGACCAACTTTGACTATTCTCAGGAAGGCAACACTCCTCTTATTTGTAGGGCTACTGTGTTGTAGCCTGCAGCTGTGTTTTATCCATAAGAATCTTGAATACTATCTGATTTCCTACTCAACTTTTTAAAGTTATTATTTTCTTCCCTCCAAGTTGACTTGCTGGGTGATTGTACTTGGAACTGGCCTCCAGCAGAAAGACAGGACTAAGCCATTTGATACTGACGTTGCCCTTGCAACATGGGTTTCAGGGGGTGTAATGCATAGTTACCATCCAGTTTCCAGTTTAACAGGCTTAATTTGATTTTTCTCTAGAAATGGTGAAATCTGAGGTGTTATGGCTAGTAGTTCAGAAAATCTATTAGCATGTAGAGGATTTGCATGAAGGACTGTGAAAAGCTAAAAGTGGAAATGCTTGTAGTTGTGTTTTGTTTGTGTGAATATAAGAAAACATTGGAGCTTGTTTCCTTCTTCCATTCCCATCATCTTCATTTTAGTAAAATACCATGTACAGATAGATCATCCAGAGGTTGGTGCTTTGAGAATTTTGCTTACAGCTCATTTGACTCTTCATTGGGCCTCTTGAGTGGTGTTGTCTTTCTGGTTTGCCTTCGAGAGAGAAAACAAGTTCAGTGTCTACAAGGAGAAGTGTCGCATATCACATAGGTGTGTGGCTATGTGATAAGCTGTAAAATGATAGATAGTGGAGTATTAAAAATCTCTAGATGTCAGGAATGATGCCAGGTGTGCTTTAGTGGACTGTAAACAATGGTGGTGGATATACTTGATGACTGTATCCATAGCTTTAGAAAATTCTGCATTCTTGCAAATCACATTAGAAGATAAAAAAAATACTATTATATATTCCTTTGGTATTTTCTTTTTATTTTCCAAAGTGAGGGAGCTTATTTATTTTCTCTATAGTTTCTAATATGTGTAGACAGTGAAGTAAATTCCTTGTCCTGCTTAAGTAAGTCTTACACAGTTTTGGAAAGCATGCCTAGTGTCAGATGTTTCATAAAGGAGCATAGCCAAGTGTTTTCAGATGAGACAATTATTAAACATGCTGAAAGGAGCATGCTGTGTATTATTATGTTGCTTAGTAGTCTAAGAAAGTATTTTAGGAAAAAGGTGTCCAGAATAAGAAAACAAAGCCCTGCCGGCTTTTCCAAGTCACTGCGGAGAGCTCCGAGCCTGTCTTCTTACTAGCACCATTCTAAATGAGTTAGGGGTGGTGATACAGCTGGTTCTGTTGTCCCACGCAGCTCCAGGCCAACCCCTTCAGTTACAAGGTGTTTTATAATCCTCCTGGCTATTCACAGAATGAATTGCAAGGCCTCTTTAAATTCCCATGTACTTGGGTTTAATTTTCCCAGCCCTGCTTTACTCCCACACATCCCAGACCTTCTAAAATGAACATCCACTGCTGGGCAGTGACGATGGTGTGAGGGAAGGCATCCTCCCAGAACAATTGCCAACTCCCCAGCAGCTGACGCTGTGGAAGAAACAGAATAGCACTGGGGCAGCTCCGGTCCTTTTATGTGGCCCCTCAGTTAGACCTCGATGTCATGTAGGTAAATTCAGTCCAGAGCTTGCGGAATCTTTATTGGAATTTGTGCACTCATCTCTCACAGCTGTGGAGAGTTTAGACTAATCACAACCCTCACTGGGATACTATCATCTTCGTAATTTGAAAAAGGATCAGGAGCCTGCAGGCTTGGAACGTCTTGAGAAAACTCTGGCCCCGAAATACATCATCACACGTGGGGGACACCACTTGCAGCATCATCGCAGAAAGCTTAAGAATGCTGAAATCAAGTATTTCTCTGGCGTGATTTCAAATGGCCTGAGAAATCTGAGAACTGCTTTTTTTTTTTTAAATCTCTTTTTTACTGCAAAACAGATTCTTTCCTCTTCCATCAACCCCATTGCTGTCAATGTGTCCGATGTCAGGTTCCAGAAATGAGCATAGCCTTTTAATGATAAGAATGCCAAGGTTAACATGGCCGCCAGGGGCTCTCTCAAGAATCTGTTAGGGTGTGTTTCGATCCACAGACACGTTCTGAAGGCGTGCACCTTCTTAGTGTTTCCATTCTCAGTACATTTCTCTTCAGCAGCCTGGATAAAACCTGTCACTTTTTGCCAGGCCTTCTCATGCTTGGGGCCCCCTCGGACACTATTTTTCATTGACCCCATGTGTCCATATGGCAGAGCTAGGTTCAAAGTTGGGATTTGGGAAGCAGCCTCTGACAGCACAGAAGCCTAGTGAACTATGGTCATTTGTTCAAGAGGCTGGTATTCACAGATGTGCTCTAAGAGTGTAATACAATTTTTGGCCCCACCCAACTGGGTATTTTATTACCATCTGTATAGCAACCAACCAAAAAATCAGCCTGAGGAGGCAAGTGCTAATTTACGTGGCTCAAACCTGTCATCCCTCTGAGGAGTCAGTAGGCTAGACTGTCTTCTGAGGCTTGAGCATTAAAATATGCCTTTCAGTTCTACAGTTCCCTCTTCCCTCCTCCTCGTTTCATATTAGTTTTTGCTTTATGATTTTCTTTTCTTTTTTTTTTAAGATTTTATTTATTTACCCGACAGACAGAAATTACAAGTAGGCAGAGAGGCAGGCAGAGAGAGAGGAGGAAGCAGGCTCCCCGCTGAGCAGAGAGCCTGATGCGGGGCTCGATCCCCGGACCCTGGGATCATGACCTGAGCCGAAGGCAGAGGCTTAACCCACTGAGCCACCCAGGCACCCCGTGCTTTATGATTTTCAACCTTCAGAAAATTAATCCTGATTCAAGAGAAAGAAAAAAGGATCGATAGGAGAACTCTGTGGGATGGGGAGTAGGAATTATGGCTAGGTGTTAGAATGAAAGCAAAGGGAGAACCAAATTGGCAGAGGCGATCAGAAGTGTCTCTCAGCCTGGGCTTAGGTTTCCTGCCCATCAGTCTTCTGTCCCCCAGTTGGCCATATTGCCTTTTAGGGAGGATCCAGGGTTATTTATTTATTTATTTTTATTTCTTTTCAGCGTAACAGAATTCATTGTTTTTGCACCACATCCAGTGCTCCATGCAGTGCGTGCCCTCCATAATACCCACCACCTGGGGAGCCAGGGTTTTAAGCAGAGCAGTCCGCTCTCTTTTCTCAGTCACATTTCCACGTGTCAACCAATCTATGGCTTTAAAAAAAGATGCCTGTAGGTTTCTGAAAATCTAAAAGCTCTCCACACCCACAGAAAACTCATAGGTATCTCTAAGGATAAAGCCAACAGAGCTATCT